TATATAATCAAAAATGGATAAACATTAAAGGTAAATATACAAGGACAAAAAATAAGGAACTTAACACGTCCTTAAGATGATAAACAACGTCAGTACCTAGGATCTATACTTCAAGACCATTTTGTACCATTTGTGAAGTTGATACGGAATATTTATCGACAAGGGGTTAGTATCTTCCAATGAACTTTTTCAGAAACAGGACGAGACGTTCTTTGATATAACCTTGGCTCATCAACTTTCTGCTCAGATACTGGTGACATTTTGTAAAGTCTGAGTAGCAGCTGCAAGCTCTTGAATACCGAATGAGTTGAGAAATGTATATCCCATATGTAGGTGAAGTTGGTATATTCCTGCTAAGGTGGGAACAATTTATAATTTCAAAATTAAAATCGCCTTGCTTGTCATTGATTCTGGTATTGAGATGACCACTTATGTCAAATTCGAGGTATAAGTATAAAAATGAGGCGGAGGAAGCCGTGTCTGTTGTTTCTTTAATATCTTGTTCTGGAGAATATATTAATGGAACCCAGTCAGAAAAGTTTGGATTGTTAATGGAAAGAACATCATCAATATATCTTAATGTGAAATTAAATAATTGGGCTTCTTTGATTTTTTTTTTTGACAAGTGTCTGAAGGAACTCTGAATCATATGAGAACAAGAAGAGATCGGTAAGGAGAGGCGCACAATTCCTTCCCGTAGGAATGCCGACAACTTGCTGAAAAAGTCTACCTCCAAATTCAACAAATATGTTGTCAATGAATAACTCCAGCATACTGATCACTAGTTCCTCTGTGTAGCATGTTTTACCTTTTTGTTCACTATTAACAAAATATGCCGTATGGTAACCCAAAGCAATATTTTATTTCGCGTATGCTGCCATTTTTATATTGAAAATCATTGTGGAATATTTCGTTTAGACGATTTTTCAATTTCACATGGGGAATGGTGGTATACAGGGTTGAAATATCAAAGGTGTTGAAAGAACTAATTTCAGAGAAAGATCTAGATTCAAAACGATTAAGAAGTTAGAGGCTTTTATAATCCACATATGGTTAATACCACTACGTGAGTAAACAGTTTCACAGTATTTCTGAAGACCCGCTTTTACTGTGGCTAGAATTGTTGTCAATCTAATGGACAATTCCTTTGTAAAACATTCCGGCCATGAACCGTTGTTTGTACGGAATTTTGTGAAGCTTAGATAACCAATTCAAACAATGTAAGTCCTCAGATTTGCTTTTCATTGAAGCAATGAAGGAATAATGATTCGCCAAAACATTGCTTATATACAACATTGTATTTGATGCTTTCGACCGACGAACCTTTGATATTTTTAAATTTCTATGCGTTTTTTTGTTAAAGAACTTCAATCATTTTTATATGAGTAAACTCTGTTAATTTACACACTGTACAATTGTATTTTGAATCATCTTTCCAGTTTTTCACCATAATGATTGGTAGCATAGTAAAAGTCAGCATCTGATTTGTATTTTTTTTTTCGATCCAATTATCGGTTTAAACCTATTTAGTCGAGACAGTAAACATATTACTAAATTAAGCGACAATACTTTGTGGTCACATCTCTCAAATCGATTAATAAGGGACAAAGTAAAGTTCAGCATAATAAAAAAAAAACGATGGTTTAATGAAAATTATAATGTATAACAGTCTAATGTTTTAAGCTGCGTATGTCTATTGAATAGAGAAACATGTCCTTGAAAGTTTTCAATACAATTTAATTTACAAAGGAACAATCATCTCATTTGTAAGTGTTAACTGGAAGGGTATACTTAAAGAAGAACATCATACCCATGGTGTTGGAAAATCTATACTTAACACAGACAACATTTCCGATTTGTAGGAATGTCATCAAACTTCTTAGTTTTTTTTTACCATACGGATTGGTAGTTTAGCATCAGTTAGCACCTAATTTGTTTTATTTTGAATAGCGACCGATGTCCTTAAAAGCTTTCAGTAGAATTTAATTTTGAACAGAAATAACATCTCCATCGTAATTATCCACAGGAAGCATTTACTTAAAGGTGAATATGATACCCATAGTGTTGGAAAATCTATACCTAAAACAAAAAATAATCTCGATTAGTAGGAATGTTATCAAAATAAAAGTGAACAAAATAAGCGTAAGGCTTACAGATTGAGATATTAATACATTTAAAAAGACCACCACACAAATTAATAATAATTGGTAATTCTGCAAGATAAATAATAGCACAGTCACAAAACTAATTGTAGCAAGATATTTACACAGACTGAAAAAAATAGAACAACAATAAGGTGTGAATGATTACAATACTTAGGAACGTTAGTTATAAATGATTGGATGTGAAATTGTGACTACATAAGTACAATGCCAGGAACGTTAGTTATCAATGATTGGATGTGAAATTGTGACTACATAAGTACAATGCCTGGAACGTTAGTTATCAATGATTGGATGTGAAACTGTGACTACATAAGTAGAGGACCGGGAACGTTAGTTATAAATGATTGGATGTCAAACTGTGACTACATAAGTACAGGGCCAGGAACGTTAGTTATAAATGATTGGATTTGAAACTGTGACTACATAAGTACAAGGCCGGGAACGTTAGTTATAAATGATTGGATGTGAAACTGTGACTACATAAGTACAGGGCCGGGAACGTTAGTTATAAATGATTGGATGTGAAATTGTGACTACATAAGTACAGGGCCGGGAACGTTAGTTATAAATGATTGGATGTGAAACTGTTACTAAATAAGTACAGGACCGGGAACGTTAGTTACAAATGATTGGATGTGAAACTGTGACAACATTATTACAGGGCCGGAAACGTTAGTTATAAATGATTGGATGTGAAACTGTGACTACATAAGTACAGAACCGGGAACGTTAGTGATTAATGATTGGATGTGAAACTGTGACTACATAAGAATAGGGCCGGGAACGTTAGTTATAAATGATTGGATGTGAAATTGTGACTACATAAGTATAGGGCCGGGAACGTTAGTTATAAATGATTGGATGTGAAACTGTTACTACATAATTACAGGGCCAGGAACGTTAGTTATAAAGGATTGGATTTGAAACTTTTACTACATAAGTACAGGGCCGGGAATCTTTCTAATCGTTAACAATTACTAAGCATTTGAACAAATATTTGGTAGATGCGGTAGTTGCCGGTTGTGATAAACGAGTTTTGTTGAAGCAAAAAAATTTGTCGTCACAAAACCAAAGATGATATAATTGATCGAATCTTTTAGAGTGTGTTTTTCAACCAAAACTGTCCAAATTGTAGAACAATGGAAACACTTAATTAATATTTTATTATTTAATGTTCTATTTTTAAAAGAAACATGGTGAATGTATATGCAGTTGGTCAGAATGCAGTAGATTGAAATCTATAGGAGTTATACCATCTTTGTTTTCTCCTTTCTGTCTTTGTTAATGATAAGCATGACTAAAGTGTCATCCCGTCCAGCACTACAGTCAACTTTTCACACAATATTTCAGTGAATATAAGATAACAGCAATTACTGGAAGTTTACAAATCAAATTTTCACCCCTCTTTTCCTGTTCACAAACTTTCGTAATTATGTCACCTCAAGTTTCCAAAATATTTCATAGGAACACCAAATATAAATAGGAAGAAGTAAAATAACAAAAATACCGAACTCCTATGAAAATTCAAAACCGAAGGTCCTTTATTAAATGCTAAAATCAATAGATCAAACACATCAAACGAATGGAAAAAAATGTCATAGAATGGTGCTTTGAATCACCCAAGACATATGTCTATGACTCAGACATTTTTTTTTCTGCAATGAAATGCAGGGTAAAATTCTTATTACTGTCAAATTCAAATGGATATTTTTTTCGATCCTTTTCTGTATGCAACCGGATGTGACATAGTATGTTGTGTTGGTATTACACCTTCAAAGCAGTGCAAGTTTTTCATTATTTCTAATAATTGCGGACATGTAAAGGGCAGGTTTTCAGTTTTCGTTTATTTTCGACGAAAAAAGGAGTTCGTATCCAAAGAAAGTACACATGGTGTTAGATAATAGATATTATCAACAGGATAATTTTCAAACTAAAAGTGAAACAAATACATATCAGGCTAAACCATTTCTTGTTTATGGATTTATGACATTGAACATGTAAAATGAAACCAGTCTTGAGTAACGAATAATTTCCGAACACATCCTGACAAACTTGTGTGATAATATTTGTTGTAAAAATATAGATAGTACTATAAAAATAGACAAAAAAATTTTGAAGTAGTAAAGACTGTTTGTAACAGAAATTTATGTGTTCAGATATTTATCTTAATGCTATTTATAGTTAATTTCACTGAATATTCTACCTGGACAATTAGTAGTAAATTTAACAGGGATACTTGATGAAATGCTGTACACCAAGTTTTATTGTTGAACAGCAATATGTGCAATAAAGAATCAATTTGAGTGTAAAAAATAGATATGCATAAATTGTTTGCATTGCTTTCTTCAAGGCTTTGTTGCTGCCATTTATCACATTGTCGCCATTAAGCGCTGCTTGATCATTACGGAGTGTCCGTTCACAGATGATACAGGGCTTACTCCCTTTGCTATAATTGTTTTTCGTTTCTCTCCCTGATATAAGACGTTTTACCTAATTTGACCGTGAACAATAAAATGTGGGTATCAAAAAAGCAAGAACTATTTACCTTTCTGGAGCACCTGAGTTCAACCCCAGTTTTAGTGGGATTCGTATTGTCTACATGTTTAGTTTTCCAGGATTTGTTTCTTGTTCGTATTTGTCTCTCTCTTATATTTAAGCAACGCTGTTGTCTCTTTTTTTTACTTGTCGAGTTTGCCCTTCGTATCTTTTTACTTTTCATTTGCATTGTCTTATCTCTTTATGATCAATTTTCTAAATTAAGGCATTCATGCAGCTTTTTGTGAATGAACAAAAGAGTATATTTTTCAGACAATCGTTGTAAACAAAAACGACAATAAACTTACATTTAATTAGTTCTTGCATCAGATAATTATCAAAGTTTATAAAGCGCTTGAGCAGAAAATGTCATTATCACAATGCTAATTAAGTTTCAAATTTGTTTTATTCACCGAATCATATTAAAAAATGAACATGCATTCTGATCTGTAGTATAGAGTTAAAATTCAACAGATCAGGAACATCTTTCATAAAAAAATAAGGAGATAATACTTTGCTATTTATTCATCTCGGTGACTTACTAATGTTTCTCATGTAGTTGCATTAACATGCAATTTCAGCAATACCACACCCAGCAATGACTGATCCACACGACCCGGCAATAACAGTACCACAGATAGCTATACATGTTCCAAATGAAAAAAAGGTACAAACAGCACACCCTACAGTCATCAAACCACAAGTAGCTCCAAGAGACGCGCAACTAACGTCCAATACTTCTTTAAAACATGATCTCTTTTCTCTACTATGTGTCTGAGTCATTCCAACATGTGTGTAGTTATACTCAAGTGCATCTGCGATGACTTTCCCAAACTCATTCTTAGAAAATAGTTTGGTAATATCCCCCAAATCGTTGATATTTTCCAACAATTCTTCTGGCTCATATGGACATTTGGAGTACATTGATGCACAGACTTTTTTATCTTTTACGGAGTGTCCATTCACAGCTCCATTTAAAACATGTTTAATAGTCGGATAGTTAGCTAATAATTTCTTGGCTTCTGCATATAACAAACTGTAATGATCTTGTCCCTTGTCAGTTGCAATTTTGCTCAGGAGACCTAAAGGGGTGCTCAACATTTTATTGCGTTCGGATTCTGGTAATGCAGCAAGTACACACATCAATTCCCCTATACATTCAGTAGTATGATCGTAAAAATGAATTACTTTGTCTTCAATAGCAATCACAGCTTTAACATTTTGAAGCTTGTTCGAATCATTGGTGTGTACTAATGCTGTTCCAGTGGTCCCTAATACAACGACAAACCAACAATATTTGGAGATCATCCTCGTTTATTTCTGCAAAGTTAAAGATTCAAATGAAAATATTTAAAGTTCTAAATAGTTTACATTCAATGTTGTTGAAAAATAGAGTGGTATCATATGCTATTTGAGTAGTCTTCATTTTTTTGTCTAACTTAATCTTTATCCCTTGATGTATTTATTGCTTCTTAATTCTTAATGCCATAATTTCGACTAATAAAGCAAATAATAAACCAAATAAAGGACACCTTTAACGAGTATCTGTAGAGTTGAAAAAAACTCGATGCATACCTGTTGTTTAAAACAAGTTTGTTTGTTAGTATATAATGTTTGCACCCATCATGATTAATTAAGTCCGACATGTTTCAGTGTATTAAACATGAAATATGCTTCACTAAAAACTACAAAAATTATAGCTCCTCAATTTGATATGTTTCGACCTAATCAGTAATATGTACATTTTAATTACTCAACATTAAATTACTTTAAATGTTTGAAAAATCCACATGTATTGAGATTAAAATAGACAAATAGTACCTGTAAATTAATTGTTCCAGTAGGCTGTAATTGACTGCTCAAGCAAGCTGTAGGTTTACTGCTTGCGTCTATAGTTTTGAGCGGTTCATTTTATAGCCAGCTTTGTTTGGAACGTCATTCGTTTTAGAGAAAAGATAAAAGGTTTGTTTTTCGAAAATTTGCATTGTTGTTTTAATTTACGTGTGGGTCAATGTCATGTACATTAGGTCTCCTCAGTAATTGTCGTTTATCTTTCTTAAATTTTGAATAATATGAATCATACTGACACAGTTTTATGACAAAACAGATTTGAATAGATTTCAAAGAAAACGTATGTCACATTTCAAAATATATAACGTATATTAAAAAACTAACACTCTTATACAAAGTATAATGAAACCTTCTTATCGAACCCTTATTAAATCGAAAAGTTATATAAAATGAATTTATTATTTATCCACACACTTCATTTTTTTGTGTGTAAATTAAACCAGTCTAAATAGAACACCTGTCAATTCCAAACCGAAAGTCTGGTAGCACAGTGGTTTAGTTTATGAAGATTTTACTGCACATTCATTTACGTGATACTTGGCGTACATTTAGTGGCTTCATAAAAGAAGACTAAATGTCGATCATGTCAGAATCAACACTGACGTTATTGTATATTTAAGGTCCTTGGAGGCAAAATGAGCTTAACATGTTTTATTTTGTATTTCCTTTACCTTTATTTGTCAGATATTACCTAACGAACCCCAAATAGGCACATATTTAATATTACAAATACACAACAGAAGATACCAAGACGTAATAAAAAAAAACGGAATTCAATATCAAAAGACAAACACGTGGCCAGAATAGAAATAAAACAAAAAAAGAAAAACAATAACCAACGAGAACAAACAAAGAAAACTAAAGATGAGCAACAAGAACCCCACTAAAAACTTAAATGCTTCGGAAAGAGTGAGCAGTTTCTGCTCAACATGTGAAACCCGCCGTGTAACAATAACCTTCTTAATCGCAAAAGTTATTTTGAGTTTTAACATTATGATAGATGTAATCAGTAAAGGTACTTAACATATTTACTTGACAGCATTTAGGAGTTCTGCTTCCTGGTTTTGACAAACAACATCAAATAATGCATCACTAATCAGCTGCACGGATAGTCAGATATGTATGCAAGAATAGTGTATGGATTAACATTTCATGTTCAAAAAGCTCAAAAACGTATAATGTAGAATAAATTTTAAACAACGAATCCATCTGTATGTCTAGTATAATCATCATTATCAAATTTTAAAATGTCCGGATTTTTTTTTTTTAATTTGATTTTTTTCGGAGACGTTTTTAAAAAAGTTGCAATTTTATGCTCATCTGGCTAAAGTCAAGGGTGAGCTTTTGCTATCACTTTGCGTCCGTCGTCTGTTCGTCTGTCAAAAATCTTCTCCTCTTACAATACTGGTCCAATTGGAACCAAAGTTGGCCTGCATCACCCTCTGCGTGTCTACTTTCAAAATTATATCCGATGATCTCGCCCTGTGACCAACATGGCCACTGTTATTTTAAATAGAGCATAAGGTTAAAATGCATAGATATAAAATTTAAACTTTTGCGATTTTGCCGAATATGCACATTAGGCATATTTGTACAAAAAAAAATCAATAAAAATTCTGTTCCTTTGAACTGCATGGGCAATTGGATCTAAACTTGACATTCATATTCCTAAGGTTGTCCCTTTCAAAATTTATCCGATAGCTTACCTCGCCAACTAAAATGGCCACCGTTTCTGAAAATAGAAATTTCTTTAAACAACTCAAACTGCTTTATATTTCAGGAAAATGGGATGACATTTGAACTATAGTCTCGTGACAAAGACTCATTTAACATATTTTGGGTTTCTCATATAATTTGTGATAACGGAAATTAATCCGTGATCACGAAAGACAAAAATCTGGGGTAACTTAGTCCTGAGATTCATTACCACGAATTAAATCCGTGTTAACGAAAATTAGTGATTACGATTTTAATTGCTGATCACGAATTCAAATTATATTTTTTGAAAAATGGGCTTCCACAATAGTGGGGTGTTACCACAGAAGAATATATCTGTGGTATAGGGTGGGGTATCTGAATCCGTTTTGTGATATTCAACAATTTATAACATGAGGTGGAATGGGCATTAAACCCTGTGCTAATCCCTTAGCTGCAATGCCTAGGTCTTGACATGGTAAGCAAATATATAGTTATTGTCTTATATTCTCCATTTGTCGAAGGGTGGATTTAAAGACTAAACTAATAACTTAACAGTAAAAATACGTTTGAATATTTGCAATACGTTCTCTAAACTCATGTTTGAAAGAAAAATCCAATGGAGTAAAATACCTTTTGGTGCCCTCTTAAACAATGGACAGATGTTTCCCTGACCAAGCATATTCTCGCTCGTCTTAAGGACATTTTTAAGTACTGCCAATTGAACAGGATAGTTAAAGAAATATCAATGATCTACATTAGGAAATTACCCGTGCATTTACAATTCCCAATATATGACCCTCTTATTTCGTTGGATTGTTGGGTTGTTGTCTTTTTGAATTATACCTAAAATCTTCTTGTAAGAATTAAAAAAAAAACGATGCATACACAACTGCAGTTATACAAAGTTTATTTGCACTGATATTTGTTAACTTGTACGAGAGATATATTTACATAAAAGTTGACATCATGTAAAATAACAGGCCCTAAATTTATAAGACAGAACGCTACTTAAAATATAACATGTAGCCATTTAAATAATTAACCGTCTTCTGGCACTATAAGGCACTTAAGGGGCTTTATATTAATTGCCGCATGCGTTATTAGGCACCTTAAAAGTATAGACCATGCACCACTGTAGCTCAAATAAAGATAGCTCAAAATAGCGATGTTTGCAAATTTTTCTTATTAGTATTCATTCTTAAAATGTATAAGAAGGTCATCGTTAACCAAAACAACACAAATAATGTTTGAAGTAGAGCTATGTATTGTCTTTCGGACACTAACTATTTCATTTTTATTATCGAAGTCCTTTGACGCAAATATAGAAAAAAAAATCATTTGTATCAATATGTCTTCAACCGCAACATATAACGCTGAATAGCAATTTCAAGTAGAGTAAAGATATGAAAAACAAATTTTAGACCCTGTGAATGAACAAGTACTAGAGAAATCGCCTCTACCTCTTCGCCACTCTGTATTAAAATGACTTCACTTATAAAGTAAAATTTACAACAAAAAGGACGATTTTTCTTCCCTATTGTTGATTTTCCTTTTTTTTTTTGGATGGTAATGTTCCTTTGGCACCATCTTACATATTATATATCACAACTCTGTTCGTGTCTGTAAAGGCGTTTTGAATTTCAATGAACGTAATCTATTTACTACTGCTAAATTATTAAGTCAGAGATTTCGTTACCACAAATTACTTTACAAAATTCTTCCATAGATACATAGATTTGGTTTGTAATTTTGACTGTACCTGAAGAAAACTTATTTCAAACGGGATAGCCCATCCTCATTTTTACGTAGATGTTGTTTATCGAGCACGGAAGTTTAGATACGATGCGTATAACCTAATCAATCCTTTAGATAAACTTACTCTTAACGGTTACAAATTCAACACTGTAATTAGATCTTTGAAAATTGTTTTATTGGTATAAATATTGATTTTGTTATCAGTAAATTCAAAACCAAACTATTCTTATTGTTATATACATATACATATACACATTCACGGTTCTACAATCTGTCGATACCTGTATGTTGGCATTGCACAAGGTCATGTTTTTCTCTGACTGTTAATAACATCCTTTATACTACATCCGTTGGATGTTGGATGTGTACTGATTGATACTTTAGACTTAGTTGTTTTTGGCTTTGAACTAGCTGTCAGTAACTGCGAGTACTCTCAGATCTGTATTTAGTGGTTTTATTTTTTGTTGAAGGAATATATGGATACCCTATCACGTCCGGTCTGTGTTTTTCTTACTTGTTTATCTGCTTTGTATCGATCTGATGAGCTAATCACATTTCAGTTGATTTTTATAGTTTGTTCTTATGTAGTATGGTTTCACCACTATCCCATTTTAGGGGAATGGTCTGATGCTAACAAACTAGTTTAACCCCGTCACATTCTGTATGTGCCTGTCCCAAGTCAGGAGCCTGTAATTCATTGGTTGTCGTTTGTTGCTGTATATCATATTTGTTTTTCGTTCATTGTTTGTACATAAATCGGGTCTTTAGTTTTCTCGTGTGAAATAATTTATATTTGTCAATTTGGTGCCATTTATAGCTGACTATGTGGTATGGCCGTACGATGACTAATTAACCTTATCAATCTCAACTTATACCTACGTCACGTATTCCAGTGAACTCAATATTTGATTAACTACATTTAGAAAAAAAAAATATTTACTGGTTCATGGTAAGAGGGTTGGGCGCCCGCTACAATCTGTATGTGCCTATCCCAAGTCTAAAGCCTTTATCTCAGTGGCTGTCGTTTGTTGCTGTATATCATATTCGTATTTCGTTCATGTTGTTTTACATAAACAGACCGTTTGTTTTATCGCTTGGATTGTTTTACATTACTGACTGTCTGGTATGGGTTTTGTTCATTGTTTAAGACCATACAGTGACCTATAGATGTTAGTTTCTATGTCATTGGGTCTCTTGTAGAGAGTTTTGTCTCACTGGCATTTATTCCACATCTTCTCATTTTTATATCAACAACAACATTTAGCACTGAATAGTATTTTGATTTTAGGGGAATATGTAAAGCTGTGACACAATAAATGACGTCATCTTCAATTTGATTTCCAGACCAATTTCAGAGTTTGACCCGTTGAGTGTAATAAGTCCATGGAAAATTAGTCTTTCATCTTTTCTCTTAAAGAGGCCTCACCAATAATAAAAAAAAAAAGATAAAAGGGTGCTAGTTTTCCTGTCAGTTAGATAGTAACTTCCTTAGTTTGTGTGATATAATAATGAAATATATATGTTTTACCATCTTTATAGTATATTTCATTGTATGATTCATTTAAAGTATTTAAATATTATAATTTTATTTCTTATTATAGATAAAAACGAGAAAATTTGAAAGGTCTTT